TCTCTCCCTCTCATATATACAGACACACACATATATATTCATATATACATATATACACACGTGTGTGTATGTATATTAGTTATGTAATGTTTCTTTAAAATTGGATTTGCTAATAGACTGATTCGTTAACTGATTTATATGTGAAAAGAAACAGGGAGAAGTCAGTAAATCAGCAAGTGCTGACAGCACAACAGAAGGTACCCCAACAGATGGTTTCACTGTCTTATCCACGAAAAGTTTATTTCTTGGGCAAAAGGTAGGTTTGTGCATTTATTCAAAATATTTTTTGTACGTGTGCACGCATGTGTGTTAATTGAACCTGGAGATATATTTCTATGAATATCCTCAAGTTATTTTCAAACATTTATAAATGATATATATTAATCAGCATGCCATCAATTTATAAACTGCAGTGGATTTTTAAAAAGGCCCCACTCTGAAAGAGAGTGAAATTTAAACAGACATAAGATTAATAATAAATATGAACGAATACAGTTATGCATACTTGGAACTCGCTTACAATTGGGAATAATGATTAGGGGGTTAATCCAATAGTCTCAGAAAAGACAGGTCTCCAGGGCTAGGCATCCCCAATCCTCAGGCTGTGGTCCAGCACTGGTACACAGTCTGTCAAGGATTGGGCTGCGCAAATGAGTGAAGCTTCATGTACGCAAATGAGGAATCCAGGCAGCATGTGAAATGGTCCACAGAAAAATGCTCTCCATGGAACCAGTCCTTGGCACCCAAAAGGTTGGGGGCAATAGGCATTTAAAAGTGGAAGACATACTGCCTTATATTTATTGAGCAACCCTAGAAGAGACAGATAGGAAGGTAGTCTTCAAGTAGATTATCCTGGCAGATTAGAAGGAGCCAAAGGCTAGGCAGAAAGTTTTTTAAAAAAATAGATGAAAATATAGCCATGAAGAAGTAAAGACATGGCATTTATTTTGATATAAAACAGAATGACAATTTTGTAAAGGATGTTGGTAAGCAACAACATTTGGACAAATAATGATTCATAAAACTGAAAAATTTTGGTAGTGATTTAATAGAGATAAAAACCTTAAATTATAATTGTAAGGAAAAGGTTTCAGTAGTCCAGAGTAGCAATAATTTAGTACAACAGAAAGAAAGAGGAAAGTGGGCAAAATCAAGCTTAGAATTAAGGTTATCTTCCTGGAAATAAATTACAAGCATCCATAGAGACAGGAGGGGATTGACATAGTAAGCCAGAGTCACAAATTAATATAAATAGAATAATTTATATTATAAAAGAAATATGCATCAGTTTCTAAAAGAGCTTTGTATATAGTAAATGATAAGACTAGTAAGGGAGACATTGCAAGAGGATTCTACAGTCACAATCCAAAGAACTTTTACATTGGCTGAAGCCAATCTCAACTCATACACTGTATGATCTAAGAAAAGAAAGAATTTGGGAAAACATTGGAGAGATTGGTGCGTGAGAAAGACATTAAGCAGTTCTTTATGCCTGATCTCCCCACTTCCTAGGTTTTTCAAGGCATATGTGGACTTAAAAATTGCTTATTTGAGCATTCACATGTTGCTACATGTTTTTCTTGCAGTTGAAAATTTAAGGCCCATTTTCTCCAACCTGAATTACATCAAGATTAAGTGATTTAAAATAAAGTGTGCTATGTTTGGTTACAAAAATTGTAAACAGATTTCTTCTGGTATCATAGTGTCACATTTCATTTGTTAATTATATTGCACTGAAATAATAGAGTTTGATATACATACAAGAAACCTCCAGAGAAAAATTTTCACACAAATAGAGAAGATTGTAAATATGTACAAAAACAATTGTCTTTTAATATGATTTATATGAATATGGCTTCTAATCATATTATTCTACTCTACTGACATGATGATAATTGAAATTCTTTGTCAAGATACATCCATAAATATTAAGAGATATTTGCTAAAGGTTGAACAATAAATATTGGTTTATAAGTAATGATGTATGGAGAAATAACATATATTCAGATGGAGAATGTTTTTATACCTAAGAAGGCTTCGCGTATATATTTAGCCATATTTAAAAAATTTAACCCTAAACTTTCCATGACTTATTGTTATTCTAAGCATTATTGTTTGTTATCACAAGCTTTGAATACTGAGCTAAAAATATTTTTATATTATATTTATTATATTATATTATTTATATATTATTATCATATTATTACTTCATTAATCTGTATGAGGCCAAAAAATATGTTATGTATTGATGGTGGTTAAATGAAAGTGATGCCAAAAGAGTATTATGTGGAGCATTCTTAATCTCAGCCCTCTTAATCCTGTTAATGTCGTGGTGTTCTAACCACATTCGTTTCACAAGCTGCTAGTAACATGTGTGGAAGCCTTAAAAAATCTAAGAAATGTATGGCTCTTGGAAAGACTGTAATCTGAAATGGTGGCAGCAGATAATAATAGAAATACCTCTCTTTTTTAAGTTGTTGTATAATTGGAATTATATCATGTGCAGACTGGTTTCAACTAATGTTTATCCATGATATCATCAATCCATATAGCTATCATGTGCTATATAGTATAAATTTATGTTAATATTGAAGAGAAAAATGTCTTTTTTGTGACAGTGGGGGGAGCCTAAGGGACAATATTGCTATCTGCCAAGCTTCCATTCAAAATAACTCCTTTCAACAAGCAGGCAAGTGTTCTGCTGTCTAATGGGGGGAGGGCAGGGAAATGTTTATGTACCCACTGAACATTTCCTTTGAGAAAAGAATCGTTTTGCAATTTGTTGTTTACAAGCTTAAGTGTGCAAAGCCTCCACTAGACATACAACAGGCTAAATACATTTTCTTTTCCTCTGTCTTTTTTTATTGAGTCTAAATGTATAATTGGAAATTTATTTTCAAATTAAGATCTTTCTCTTCCTGGATTTGTACAGTAGGCTGTCTTCCAGTATATGCTTATTACTTATGGCATTTTGAAAACAGTGGAATATAAGCAATGGATTGATTCAGGCATAATGTGTGTTGATTTAACTGAAGTTCAGAAAGCAGGAATAGATGACTGGAATGAGCATTTCCATGCTTTCTTTGCTTTGGGCAAATCTACTATGGTATTTTGCCTCTCATTTAGTTACAAATGAAATATTAAAATAATAATTAAAACTATAAGCCAGCCAGAATTTTGTACATATATATATCAGCATGAACCCTTCCTTCATTAATATTTCATTTTCTTTTTAGATGAGACTGGTTTTTTTCCTTCTCCTACCTCTTCCCCAATTTTTATTATTATTTTGGCAATCTTAGTACAAGTTTCAAACAACAGAACATGAAAAAAACCAGAAAATATTAGAAATGAATAATATAATTTGCCATATCTCTGGTGATGTTTCAGAATGGATACTTATATCATTCATCTTAATACAAAAGTAAAATTTTAGAGTGGAAGTACTACATACAGTCAAACTTTTCAGGGCATCTCTGAATTGTTTACAGTGCAGTCCATCCCATATCTTCCGGGGACTACATCCTACTGGCTTCAACTGAAATTACTCTTGAGTTTTCGGATGCTTTTATTGTTTAACTCAAAACTACCTAGATGTACTCATTCAACTCTGTCAAAAATTTAAACAAAAATGATCTGTCTACCAATCACAAAAAATAGAACATGAACAATGTGAAGGAAGGCTATTTTCACATGAATTTAAATGGATGCTATGCATAATTTCAGCTATTATGATCAAGAGATGCCCCTGGGTTGCATGAGCAAGAAGTCCGAAGTTGTTGTAGCAGTACCTAGCAATTTAGCATCTTTGGGCTTTTGCAAACCCTTCCTCATCTGGCATTACAATTTGTAAACTAAGCCATGTTCTGTCAAATTTTGACTTCCCATATGGAGAATTGTGTTAGTTTCTAGAGTTTGAAACATATTCTGTGTTTGTTTATAAGCAACTTTCTTTATGACCTGCTGTTTATTTTTGCACATTTGCCTTCAGAGATGCTGTCCTCATCTATGTTGCAAAGCTTACTTTTACTGCAGCTTCTCTGTAATTTCCCAACTGTCCTGTTGTTATTTCCTACCTCATGCTTTTCTTTTCAGCTGAACCTAATTCACAGTGAAATCAGTAATTTAGCCGGCTTCGAAGTGGAGGCCATTATCAATCCCACCAATGCTGACATTGACCTTAAAGATGATCTAGGTAAATGGGGAATGGGTGGCTATAACTAACAGTCACATGAAAATTATGGAATTTGCAGATTATTTTCATGTAATAAATTTGATATTTTATCGTGCAACTCAATGCATGTTCCTCAGATACAAATTCCATTTGATTGCAGGGGGACTTAACGCAGGTAAGATAGAGGAGTGCATCTTTAGTACTCAAAATACATAATAGAAAGACTGTTAATATGTGTAGCATTCTCCAGATACTACTTGCATGAAAATGACTCTCTGAGTAACTCTGAAATCATTTAAATGTTGTTCCATAATAATCAGATGTGACTGTTGGTTCCCTTGGGAATATTTTGCATATAAATTCTGTGAGGACTGAAATAGCGCTTTATATCACCGTTGGCTTCAAACTAAGCAGTTTCTCCATTCTGATTTCAGTTTTCTATTTTCCTTGCTTTAGCTAAAGACAGAAATGGATAGACATAGATAGTTAAGGATGCAGTCCGATACAGACTTACACGGGAAAAAAACTCCATTGAATACAATGTGAATTGTTTCTGCATACACAGAAGTACTATAAGTTATGTATTTGATGTTCCTGTACCTTCTTTCATTCTCCCTTTTCTCAGTATACACCTGTACACAGACTCTTAATTTTTTTTTAAATGCTACCATGTATATTAATCTGCAGAACATAGGATTATTATTTTTTTATTCTTACATTTGCATACACTGAAGCAATTGGTTAGGATAGATACTATAAGCTCTGGAACCTTCTGGAGTTTTTCCCCTTATCAGCTGTGTTGTAGATTTTTAATGTTAAAATGATCTATGTTAATTATAGTTTTAAGTATCATTTTATCAAAGAGAAGTTACCAGGCACACAGATTTCTTTTTTTATATGAGAATGAGGTAAGAGAGAGAATAGTATTTAATTCCCACATTATATGGAAGTTGATTAAAGTGAAAATAGTACAATAGTTTGCCTTGATTTAGGTGTTTTATGAATAACTTCTTCAACCACATTTACCATTTTGAATGAGAGATCACATTCTATGGTTGGAGCACTCCATTTCAGAATATTGTTCCTAAATCGTTGATATTTGATGTGTTTTTTTTAAAGCCATATCCCATTCATTGCCAAGGACAATCAAGTGCATATTATTGTATATCCTGATCGAAATTATAATGAGGATGTGAAATCAGTGTTAACTACTTAAACAATTTTCTGAAATGCTACCATGTATATTAATCTGCAAAACATAGGGTTCAAATATTTTTTATTCTTATATTTAACTTAAAAATCAACTTAGGAAAGGCATGGTAAAATTAAACACAAATAATTAAAATATAAAAATATCACATTTTGGAACTTAAATTATGAAATTAGCACTTTTTTCTCATTAAAAAGAACAAATACCATGGTGAATTCCATACTATCCTATGTTTCTGTTTATTTAGAAGTTATAGAACAAATATTATGCTGAAATCTCTACATATATTCATTCTTGAATCTTCAGTTCCTTAGTCATAAGTCTACTACTGGGAACTCTAGAGTAAAGGTAATATATAATCTATTGTTTGCAAATTATTTATGTCCTTCAAAAACCCAGCACTTGGTCATATAGTTTCCTATTAATAGATTCAGAGGGAAAATTTAAGAATTTTGCCTCAGGATAACATGGCCATTGTTTGTTGAGGCCAAAATGAGCCCTTACCCCCATGCCATTCAAGATATCTGCCCCTTTCATATTCAGTAAATAGTTATAGCATTGCAATCTGAAAATGCTCCCAGAACCTCTGGGGAGTTAAACTACACATTGATTTCTGTAGGTCTTAATGCATAAATGTTCCCAACATGATTAATAAAATCATGTTGGGAATATTTATAAAAATCAAGGAATATTGTAAAGATAGTGTATCAGAATGGAGAAACAGTTGCTTTGTCAGATTTGATGGACCAGATTGGATAGAGTTATCATAATGTTTTTTTAAGATTACATTTTTACAGGTTCTGCAAAACCAAGAAGATGCTAGCTGTTCTTTATATTTCCTTCCTGAAACGCAGTGTCTTTGACCTATTGGTCAAGTACTAAAAGTTATGTATTTGATGTTTCTCTACCTTTTCCTTTCATTCTCCCTTTTCTCAGCCCACACCTGTACACAGGCTCTTAGGTTTTATTGTGATGGTTTATTACACATATTTTGGAGCCCAAAAGGTAGGATAAAGAAGGATGTTGGTATGTACATAAATGTAGATCCTGTTCCGGGTCTTTGACCAACATGGTTGATACACATTTGTTTACCTGTTGTAGTTGCAAGTTGTTCAGGCTGACATTGCCACAATCGACAGTGATGCTGTCGTTCACCCGACAAATTCTGACATCTACACCGGTGGTGAAGTAGGTAATGGAGAGTTCAGTGCTGCAGACTTTGTGTGTGTATGCATGACCAATCAGCAGCAGCAATCTTGTCCTTGCTCTGCAGAGCTGCATTCTTTTCTCACTTCCAGCAATCCACCTCAATTCTAACGCAAATTTCAAATGGTTAAGTGAAAAAAGCTCTTTGATCAATACAAATCAACCTTGACTGATCTTGGGGGGGAAAAAACCTAACCAAGGTTGGACATGGTGGTGCCTAGATGCAAATCCATCTGAAATCCACAATTGTCTACAATAAACTGGCAAGTTAATAATAATAAAAAAGAGTTCTAGAAAAAACACGGCAAGAAAGTCCATGTTCTTGTAGTTATTAATCATTAATTTATTAATTTTGGGAGGTTTCAATTTTACCTTTATTACATAAACAGTGATTCTGCCTCATTGTGTAGTAAGAAGAGTTAAGTCTCTGAGCATACAACTTAAGAGACTTCCTTGCCCTGAAAACTAGAGCTACACGTGGAACACTTAAGAGAGGCACCATTTAACAGAGGCATTTCACCAAAGTGTGGTTTTTGGAGAGAAATGCTAATTTCACAAGCTTAAATCCAATTTTGATTATTTGATTATGTGACATCAAGTTGGTATGGACTCTTAAAGACCACACATAGGTATTAACTGACACAAATATTAATTCTGTAATGGACCTGTGGGAAGCATGGAATGACAGCCTACCAACATATTATCAAATTAAGGGACCATCAATATTAAAATAATGATATTTGGGAGACAAGGATTCATAGTATAGCAAATTACAATGATGTAAGACCTCCCTCCTAGAAATACTGGGAACCACTATAAGATCAAGATACAATAACATTAGTTTTTGAATGCCAATAACTAGGAAAAATGTCCAAAACTAAATTGTGTGCAGAATTTCATATGGAATGTCATAGATCAGAAACCATATATATTTTAAAGTAATGGTTTGATCCATTCTACCTTAATAGTTCTTATTTCCATTGAAATTGATGGAAAAATTTACGTATGCAATATGTCCTTTATTTTGACTTTCAGAACCCATAATTTCTAAAAATAGCAAGATGTGCTTCAGTATCAATATTTGATTTGGGAGAGGAAGAGCGGAATTATTTCATTCAGTATAACATATGGTCTTCTAATTGCCTGTGGCTGCTGGAAGAAAGAATAGAAGTGCATACATGCTTAGCTTCAAATGATTAACTTTTATTTTTATAAAGACCTTTCTAACTGCAGTGTATATTGGGGAAATATTTCACAAATTTTATAGGCATCTGCTGTTGTCACCATTATGCCAATGCCTGCTTTGACAGCATGAAATAGTGACATTATTCTATGGGAGTTTCACATACATTTATGCTTGTGTTAAGCCACTCAGCTGAAAGCTGTAGAGCATGATGAAAAGAGAATGACACCCCCCTTCTAATGTAAAATGGAGACAGCATTTCATTCCTTAAATACAAGTTAATGCTTCTGCAATACCATTATATACCCGTCAATACTAAAAAAAAAAAATTCTCATCGGTCTTAAAGTCATATGAAAAATGTAACTCCAAGGAAGATTTTTGAAAGATAACTTAAACATTTTTGTTAGCCCAGCCTTAATTGGCAAACTATGTGTATAAAAATGGCCTTAGGAAATCGATAAAAGCCCTCTCCACATTTCTCCAATCAGCAAGCCTCCCAAGCTTAACAAAATAAAAGTGAAAATATATTTTCTTTAAAATCATTTCAGACTTTCAAAACCGATTTCTGTGAATGTTTGCATTTGGCCAAGATAGCATCTTCCCAGGTGTATTTTCAGTCACCTTTGAGGAACTTACAGGACATAGTTCCTTTATAGCCAGTGTGACCACTTCCTAATTAATGGTCACTGTTCCCAGAAACATTTCTGTCAAGTTTACTGAAACTGGATCAACTTGGGTTGAGTCAGACCATTTCATTTAAAGTTCTGTGCAATGAGTGTCAGCAGCTTCACACATTTCATATCTTTGGCTCTCCCTGTCTTTTCAGATATTAGGAGAAAAGCATGAAAGCTTTTACATGCAAAACATATGCCTTACCATATGACAGCCCTCATTTCTATCTGCTGTTACTACTGCAAAAATAGTTTGAAACTCAAGAACCTGCTTATTATTTATTAATTAATTTTTTTATGCTGCCCATTTTACCTGTAAGGTGACTCTGCAGTCAATCTGTTGATCTGGAGTTTCCTACCTGTAGTTCAGCAGTATAACTCCTGTGGAACTTGAGAAGCAGTGCAAACAAACAAAAAATATCAAGAGCCACAACTTTTGGACTGTGGACTCACAATTGTTTTTAAAATGTGCGAGTCATTTATATTCTTTTCATTCAATAGCTTGATTTTGCTGCTCCCAAGGTCAATTTTCCAGGAACTGAGGATGTGTGGCTCTCATCCATGTTTGGAGAAGAAAACGCTTGGGACCCTCCTTAATGATAGAATGGGTCTTGTGATAAAAGGAAGGCAGAAAAATGCATGTATTAAATCAGTGTTTTTCAAACTTGTCAGTTCAATTCCCAGAATTCCCCAGCCAGCCAAAATAAAACCAATAAAGGTTAGGCTGTGATATCAAGTAATGCATAATAGATTCCCAGTAGTTTTAGATACTTGGTTTCAATACGTACTACCAAGTTAAGTATTTTTCAACGGGCATATAATATGTGGACTTCCATTAGAAATTACAGCCCTCTCCCCTGTATCATTTGAGTGAATTCATTTTGGAAATATTGTACTAAAGTACCAAAAGCCTGACCCTACGCATGTTTACCTGGAAGTAAGCTTTGATGAATTTGGCACAGGTTGCAACCTACGTATCGTCACAAAATTCTCTTGAAATAAGCCCCAAGTTACTTACTAGGTAAATATGTTTATGATTAGGCTGCAGGGATCAATTTGCAAAGTTACTGCTTTAATCCAGAATTAATCCAGTGTCACTATCACTGTTTCTTTGCCTCGCTCCTTGTATAATCATGGAACAAATGCAATGTGATTTGGGTGCTTCGTTAGGAATGAACCTTTTCCAGCTACGTTCTATTTCCTCTGTATTAAAGTAAAGCTGCAAAATAAGATCTAAACCAGTTCATAGTGGACTGCCTTTGCGCAAACCTCAGCCCGTAATGGAAATAATGCAGCTCCCTTCCTAACTCGAGCAGCATTTGTTACACTTCCGTAGCTGCAGTGAAGCAATTCAGTGGAGGGAAGTGGGTACTCTAGAGAATCTCCATTATTTCTGAGGCTCTTCCTCTTGGTTAAAGGTGGTTCAACAAGCCGGGCAGTTGTCAAGTAAAGCAGCCAGTTGCACTCACAAGACTGTTACACTCCCGGGGGCCACCTGTTGGGGTCAGGGATGAAGATGAGGTGAGTTTCAAGTTCTTATTATGGCGACTTTGTCTTTAAAGCAGTCTGTAACAGAAAGGGGGACCTTGCCCTCCATGGGAAAGCGTTGGTACAACAGTCAAGTCTCATTGCATTAGCCCGTTCTCCGGAAGGCATGTCTACCGGTGGTTCTATGGAAGCAACAGCATGATACGTCGTTGCCCTGCTGGTTGGCATTGCAAATTGTATCGGGATAAATCCCGTGGGAGGGTGAATTTTTACAAAGATGGCGATCAAGAGGGAATTGTTACTTATGGACCAGTCCTCAAAGGTTTAGATCTTACTTTGCAGTCCCCCACCCCCACCCCCATTTTTTTGCTCAGAGAAATCTGTGATGTATAGCCACCTGAAGTGATAAATACTCTGTTGGATGTGGAACAGTCACCGCTCTGTTCTTGCACAGGGAGCACATTGGAGAAGCGGGGTGGAAAAGAATTCCTGGAGGCTGTTGTTGAAGTTCGCAAAAAGAACGGGCCATTGGACACAGCAGGAGGTGCAGTTTAAATCCTTGGGAAATGGGGAACATGATATGCTTGTGTACCATAGATGGTAGTTCAATTTAACTTAGACTCTTTTAATTAACCAGAATGTCCTCAACATGTCATCGACAAGGATTGTGTTAAAAAGGCCTTTGAACCTGGGTTTATAAGAAGGCATTAACACTACATTGAAAATAATAAAACAAGAGAAATGGGACAAAGAAAATAAACTATGCATACATTCAATTTCAAATCACTACTAGCATATGCACTAATTCAAACTGCTATATTTGTAAAAAAAAAATTAAAAAAATTAGAGGCATATAGTCCTATGCAAGTCAACTGCATGTGGAATTGAAGGAGTATAGAATCCAAGGTATTGAAAAATGACCTAAGTAGAGCTTACTTACATAGTATTATCTATATATTAATGGTAAGCATTATATCATTTGAGGGGAAAATCTGTGTGAATTTGTATTGAATTTGTATTTCACAATTGACCTAACTCATGTGAATACAACCAAAGAGTATAAGTATGTAGAATACAGGGCATGTTGCCCCCCCCCCCCCCCCCAGTCAAATTATAGTTTAATGTTATGTCCAAATTTACCACCCGGCATAAATACAATCATATTCATTGTGCAGTATAGGTGATCCATTGGAGTAAAAAACTACATGTATCCTTCATTGCTGAATTATAATATCCCAATAGTATTTTCCAAAATGTTAAATACACTCTTATTTTTTTCCTCAACCAGCTGTTGTCAGTTCAGGACATGGATTGCCTGCAAAATTTGTCATCCACTGCAATAGCCCCAGTTGGGGTTCAGACAAATGTGAGGAATTGTTGGAAAAGACAGTGAAAAACTGCTTAGCACTGGCAGATGAAAAGAAGCTGAAGTCAATTGCATTTCCTTCCATTGGAAGTGGCAGGTAAACCTGGAATTCATCCAGTTTGTACCAAATCTATATTCATACAACATGCTAGGCAATAAAGTGATTGTTTCTTGTGGCTTGGCAAAATTGTGGTTGATAAGGCAAGGATAGCATGATAAATTACTTACACTATAAAATTCAGCAAACCATGATTTAGTATCAATATAATCCCTGGAGTTCTGATTGCTTCTGATTGCTAACCACTATGGAATATATTAAGCCACCATTTCCTTGTGTTGATTTAAGATGAAGTCCTTATAGTTTCCAAACTTAGAGCTAAATGATACTTTTCTTTTCTATAAAACCCAAATCCATACAAATGTGCCATGGCTATGATGATCCATTATAGTAGCTTCTGTATCTCAATAAATGCTACGTTGCAAAATGATTAAATCCTTGCAGTTTATATGTTATAGCTTACTATACACTACTCTTTAATGTTGGCTTCGCCGTGCTTTTGAACGGTCCCTTAGTGAGACAAATAATTAAGCTGGGTGACTCAGCAGTGCCCTTTTTGTCTTTGGCAGTGCAAACAATAATGATGCCATTCATTTCTGTCCACAATCTCTAGTGAGGTCAGACCTATCACCTTGGCAACATTTTAGCCATGACTAGAATTTTAGGAAATGGTGCAGTTAAAAGAGCCAATATTACGAAAAACATTTTTTCAGATAAAATATCTATAAAACAATATTATATTGCTTCCTTGATGAATGGAATTAATTCTCTCTCTCTCTCTCCCTCCCCCATGAAAAAATGTTTACTGTTCGATAAAGTTCTCTTGTATGGGGCTGTGTATGTATATAGAGGGAAGTTTAATAGTATTGAATCAGATTGATATTCCAAGTGAAAATGTGTTCCTTTAAAGAATAGCAGACTCATCTTGTCAGTTCAGTTCAATAAATCTGAAGAAGAGTAAATAAAAATCTTAAAACATAAAAATGTTTTTTAAGAGCAGCATTTTCTCTCAGTCCCAACACATGTACACAGCTGTTCCAGGACAGGCATCTGTCAACCAGACATTACTCGTTAAATCTGTATAAACAGTTCTGTCCAATTTTATGGATAAAACATGAATTTACATGGGGTGATTCATTATAAGTGTGTGTATTTCAAGAAAAGAGGGAAAGGGGGAGGAGGCACAATGGGCAATCTATAATCGTTATGCCAGATGTTCTGCAATGTCTAATTTCAACAAAACCAAATTTGTAGAATGGCATTTTAAAAGTTCAAAGTTCTATATACTCTTCTCTAAAGCAATAAGTACCGTTGTTTAAATGTAGACTTCAGAGCATATCTTCAAAGTCCTTTAAAGCTTGCCTTTTCATCTATTCATGTTGGAACTGCTCAAGAATCTCCTTTCTCCACTGCTTGTTCCTTAGGATTTGCAATCACTCAGGAAGTTAGGGATTCCCTGAAAAGCGCACCAACGTGCCTACCGTCCCTGTCCTGTTTCTTTTTATTTTTCTTATATGAAACCATTTCATGTATTCGTAATTATGTCTATACTTATACCTGTAATCTTATAATTGCTTGGCAAAATAAATAGATAGGTAGGTAGGTAGGTAGGTAGATAGATGATAGATAGATAGATAGATAGATAGATAGATAGATAGATAGATAGATGAAATATGCAAAAACTTGCATGAGTTGTTTCCAACCATAAGTTCAACATTACTGTAGCATAATGGTACATAATATTTTTAGACCAAGGGGATAAGAACATACTGTTGACTCTGCAACCCCCAAATAAATCCAGCAAAAAAAATAATTTGTTTCCAATTAATGCACATGACATTAAATACACTTAATTAAAATTTAGTTTAGAATATTTTCCCCTTCTGTCACATTAAAGATTACCATTTATTGAGAACATTTGGAGAAGGTTTGAAAGGGGGGTTGACCATAAATTTCTAGAAATCCACTGATTGTATTTTGCTGCCTAAGTAGAATTGAGCCCAGCTTTTCCAAGCTTTTCCATAGCTTATGTTTGATTATTCTCAGTGGCTGCTTTACAAGCCATGTGGTTTAAGAAGCCACACTACAAAGAGAAGATAGAAAGAAAAAGGCTGCCATTTGTATTTGTCTCTACTCTACTCTAAGTGAAAAAAGAACCAGGGTCTGCCTCATTTCCTATTGACTCTCACCCCATATATTCTTCCTTCAAGCTTCTGCAAGATGCACAGCACATGTCTGTATAATATATAATATAGTATATATGTCTACTCAGAGATTTCAGTGGACGTACTCCCAAACATGCAGATACAGGAATTCATTATAAATGTCATTATAAAATTAATTAATAGGACCTTTGGTATTAGAAAACTACTTTTTGTTACAAGCCTCATGAGGATTTTGTCACATTTTTGAAACGTAATGAGATTCCTATTCCACTTTCAACTTTTATTAAACAAATTGTAATTATCTTTTGTCTCCAAAATTTTTTGAATAGGAATGGTTTCCCAAAGCAGACTGCTGCTCAGCTGATCCTGAAAGCCATTTCCAGCTATTTTGTATCAACGATGTCCTCTTCAATCAAGACAGTCTATTTTGTTCTCTTTGATAGTGAGAGTATAGGGATTTATGTGCAAGAAATGGCCAAGTTAGATGTCAACTAAATCTAGAAAGCAAATGATACTTGCCTCTTTACCCAGCCCCTCTCCTTAAATTCCTCATTGTAAAACAGATAGCCCCTTATTTTAAATTTCATTCATCTAGGAAATAAAGATGGGCTTTTTTTTACTTTTAAAAATGTTTTATGTTGGCACTGATAGTTGACATTACTGCTGTTTAATGCACTGTATTCCAGGCATTATCTGAATTTAGTGTAATCTAGGAGATTTTATAGTTTTATTTTAATGAATTATGGATTGATTGGAAAATTGTTAGCAGTACATAGTCTTTTATTTGTGAAAGAAACCGGCAGATCCTATTTTGTAACAGTGTTGTGGTGTTCTTATCAGGTGGCATTCCTTTCTCATCTCTTTAAAGAAGGAAAAAATGCTACATATCTAATTTGTGTTTATTTCATGTCTTAATGATGAATCCAAGGAGAAAAGTACCCGTTGCCCTTAATTATATTTGCAATTTGGAACTTGTGTGGATTGATTTAGTAAAATGTTTGAAATGGTCTTGGTGTCGTCTGAATTAATGATTTGTAAATCTTAGATTAAAATGGTAGGGGACTCAATGACTCAGCAGTTAAAGACCCTGAGCTTGTCAGCTGGAAAGCTGACAGCCCAGGTTTGAGACCCGAGCACCACATGATGGAGTGAGCTCCCATTACTTGCTCCAGCTCCTGCCTACCTAGCAATTGGAAAGCATGAAAATGCAGGTAGATAAATAGGTATCACTTTGGTGGGAAGGTAACAGCATTCTGTGCTCCTCAGAGTATAGACATGCTGGCCACATGACCATGGAAATGTCTTCAGCCAAAGATGGCTGGCTCCCTCAGCTAAGAAACCAAAATGTGCAATGCCCCCTAGAGTCAGACAGAACTGGATAGGAGAAACTACCCTTATCTTTAGCTGTCCATTTGGATGTTACCAAACAATGACTGATAACTTATATTTCAGTGAAATATGCATATTAATTCTCATAGATTATGATGGAGAATGGAGGTTTGTGCCGAGTGATCACATTTTCAACCCTGCCGGGATAATGCATGTGTGACACGTAGAAAGGGGCAAATGTTTTGATCATGTGGCTATGGCCATCATCTTGATTTCTTTCTTTCTCTCTCTCTTACACATACACATACAAAGTGAGACCACTTTTCCTCTGTTCTTTTTTTTCCTGTCTGTTGCTTCCAATGAGAGTCCTTAGCCTAGTGGAATTCTAAAAGAAGAGCCCGTTAGATGAGATCCTGTTTCTGAGAAAAAGCAGAATAATTTGGATAAAGTGTCCATCTAATCAAGAATCTTTCTTCCAGGATGATCGTCCAATTGATTCTGGGATGTCCACTGCAGAATCAATAAATAGTTTTAGGTGTCATGCAAGAATATCTAGTTCAATTCTTCTTTCCTATTCATGCAATAATTCTCCATGGCTTTTCAAATTTTACACTTGAAATAGTGGTACCCTGTTATTGTTTGTCTTTAAGATCGGATATTCTCACAAATAAAGCCTTTGTTTTTATTATTACAAAATTATAGCCTATTCATAATGTTTTCAATGTTAACACTATATCAGCAATTGAAGCCATTTGGGAGTCAGTTGGCCTGAACTTATTTGACTCTTGCATACTCCAATATTCAGCAAAATCAATAAAAACAATATAGAATGGAACCCAGCCTTTCCACGTGCCTAACTTAAGCTCCTGTTCAAGTCAGTGGAGCTGCTTAAAAACTGGATCCAGCCCATAGATCAGAACTGGAGATTTATGGCTCGCAATAACCTTTAGGCAGCTTAATGATAGGCTTAATGTCAGGATACAAAGTGCCATTGTTTTAACAAGAAAACACTAATGCTCAGAGTAGACCAGATTCTCTCACCTCTCCAAAATAATTCATAACTATTTATTTATTAATCAAAGTTATATGGATGCCCATGTCACAGAAAATGTCTCTGGGCTGTGTATAACAATCTACTAATCCAATAAATTAATTCCTATTAATGTAAAACAATCCTTACTTAAAACCCATTATATAATAATAGTTGTTTTTAAAACTATGAAAGAACTAAAAAAGAGATGAAGGGGTGCTAATGACAATGGAGCCACATCACATGTTGCCTCTTAAATTGCCTTTTAAATGGCTTGTTAATTTTGGCTACATTGCACTATTGTGAAAGTTCCCATTTAAACAAGTTTATCAAATTAATTGAGATTTTAATTATATCATTCTTTTTAATACAATCAAAATGTCATGTCAAAATCTGTTTAAAAGTAGAGGATTATTTAACAAAAAATAATTTGCTAGCATAAGAAAATACAAATATATGTATTTGTATTTGATTCTCTAAAGTCCACTAGATGTCACTAGAGGGATTGTAAGAATCTGGAAAATATCAATTACCGCTTTGGAATATTTCCTATAAAAGGCCAAATTTAGTTTGTCAGTAGCTTTCAGATGAACATTATACTTGCAGTCTTCCAAACACAAATGGAGAATCAGATGTCTTATACACTATTTGCGAAGAAAATGCTGCGGGTGTGAGAATTTAAACCATAATATTAGGTGTCAGAATTGTGAAATAACTGGATGCCATCTTATATCATTTTTAGCCAGTAAATGAAAAGCAAATGTTCTTCCTTCAGCCCAGTCTCATTGTACAGTTCAAATACAATAAAGAATAAAATATAGTTTATAATATCCTGCAATCTGAATACATTCTTGATACATAATGTGTATTTCTACAGTTACAAGGACTGTGAGGATATTGAGAACTCTCAAGCAGTTTTGAAACAGACATTTGGCAGAAGTTAAAAATACCTACAATATATACCCACATATGTATGGAGTTCCATCTTTGACAGAAAGATATGTGTGCTATTTCTCTCATGTACACCAATAATAGCCTAACGCAGTTGAATCAAAATATATATATAGCTAAATGGGAGAGTCTAGCTCTCAGGAGTGGGCTTCCACCAGTTTGCACCAATACTTGTATTTAGGGATCACAAATACAACGAATGTGAAGCTGTGGACTAACACCCACAGTAGAAATTGTGGGTTGCCTCATTTTCACTGTTTCTAAAATGCAGCCTGTCAGTCAGCTTCAACTCACTGCTTTAACTTAGTAAATTGTCAAAAAAAAAAAAGATGTGAGATGAGGGACTATATAAATTTACCAAATAAATAAATAAATAAAACTCAAACCAAGGTTGTTATTATTACTTATTTTTGGCCACTCCTATTTTTAACTACCGTATTTTTTGGAGTATAAGACGCACTCCCCCCCCCCAAAAAAAAAGTGGGCGGAAATGTCTGTGAGTCTTAAACAGTGAATATGGGCCCATTTTGGGCCTCCCAAAGCCTCTTTGCATCCCGTTTTTGCCCTCAGCATATAGAGGCACTGTGCAGGCCAAAAACGTGCCCCTTTTTGGTCTCCAGAGGCCTCTGTGGGTCCTGTTTTTGTCATCCCTGGCCGGGGAGGGCAAAAACAGGATGCACAGAGGCTTTGGCCCGTTTTTGGCCTGCAGAGTGTCTCTGGACACTGGGGAGGGCAAAAATGGGATGCAGGGAGGCAAAATATTTTTTCCTATTTTCCTCCTCTAAACCAAGGTGTGTCTTATAGTCCGGTGCATCTTATACTTTGAAAAACACAGTATTGTCAGATAAAGCAGGACCAGTGGAAAAGAAATCAAGATGTTGCCACAGTTTCTGTAGGAGAACAAACTTCACGGAACTTTGTAGTGTAGAAGAATGACTGTTCATAGTTGAAAGAGAATTGCCTTACACAAAGCCAACAGAATTTAGATTTGTCTATGACTTCTCTTGTGGAAATTAATAAAGCTTTCTTAACACCTATTAGCTGGAGAGAGACTAATGGTTTCAACATAATTCTCATACTATATGCCACCATAAAAAGAGAGAGATGAAAGCCTTCCCCTGCAAATGTTACTAAGCAGGGGTGTTTGTCTTAATGAGGTTGGAAATGAGATGCTGAGTCAGACTGATTGGTTGGATCTAGTAAAAACAAGCCTTGGGTTCTTGGATTGTATTCAGTCTTACTAATGGGAAAGTACATGAGGTAAGAATGGTCTGCTAGTGTTTGCACAAACACTAGAAGCCCAACTGGCCCAGGCCACACCTAGCCCAAATGAATGAGTGAGTAATGAAGTAGTTTGTGCATGTAAAATGAAAGTATTGGGACTTAATAGCCACACAAGGGTAACATGAAGTTTACATAAAATCTGTGGTTGCTGAATTATTCTGTTGACTTACACTCTCAAGAGAAAGATTGGCTGTTGTTTTTACATGCCTTTATTGGTCATGGTAAAAGTTCAGGATGTTTTTTCACATATCCCACCTTCCAATATGTTATATGCAACATAATAATATCATACAAGTCTATTCAAACATTTATGGTTTGATCACATAGTTGACAACATTCCCTCCAACATCACACATACAAATATTTTGAATGCCGTTTATTTTCCACTTCACCCAGTGATTGAGAATCTATTGGGAGGATAATCCAAGCAGATTTATTGCTGTGACGTTAGCCCCAGACATTGCCTTTGCATATTCAAATATCCCAGATGTTGGATTGAATATCCAAAAGCTATGCCTTAATAGTCTGCAGAGTTTTTGTCCAGTAAGCAGGGTTATCAATATCCACCGAACAAAGAAGACAATAGGATTTCCTTCTATGAAACTGTAGGCAAAATCAAAGAGTCTTTTTTTCAGAGCCAGAATACACATGAAATACAGACAGCAATGCATTCATCCTTCAAATCCTATTCATAGAATATATTATGTTATGAGAAAGGGAAAACAGCTATTTGAATTCTGCAATTTCATTTCCTACATTCTAAAATTAAAATACTACATTGCACTTTTTCTCCCTTTGGGGGATATTTTAGTTTAATGCAAAATCCATTGCTGAATACGAATTGAATAAATCTGTCTAATTTACAATTTTGTGGATTCCAATAAGGCCACTACCTGCATCCTGTAACTTTTGTTTTTGTTTTTAATGCACCACTATAACAAAAGTCAAAGTAACTTCACAGCTTTGTTTCTGTGGCTATTTTCCTTGTAAACATGACAAGACAAGTTATTCTTTCTCATGTACTGGGAACTGAATGAGTATTTTGGGGGTGTTTAGTGTGATCCAGCAGAACTCTCGTGTTCATAGAATTTGAAGATAATGTACTTCACAGGGCCAGATTAAGGCCAACTGGTGCCATAAGCACAGCCCAACCATGATGCCCTTCACTATTTCCATTGCTTGATTGACAGGATATTAAAACCCAGTAAAACTAAGGGTAACAATGAAAGAGTTAACAGCATGATAGTTGTGGTGCCCCCCTTCCATTGGTGCCCTGAACATGAAGCTTAATGGTTCATCTGAGGCTGGTCCTCTATAAAAGTGTTTTGGCCTCACCAAGGACACTGAATAAGCCAACTAGGGCTTAATTACACACAGATAATTGAAGACATGTGATAGATTCAGCAGAACCAAG